TTGGAAAACGGAAGACGATTTTAATCTCGCTATATCTGAGTGTATGCAGTTTAGTTATCCTTGGCATAGTTGCAAACTTTACAGCTCTTCTTGTTGCTCGAGCCCTCCTTGGCTTTTGTTGTGGACTCAGATACAACAGTCTTTATGTTTGGGCCGCTGACATAGCTTACAATAGAGAGATTCTAGACAGGATTTTATTGATAACACACGTAATTTTCACTGCCGGGTCAATGTGGTCATCAGTGTTGGGGTTCCTACTACTTGATTGGATTGGATGGAGGAAGTTTCTACTTTTCTCGACATTGCCCGTACTCATTCTTCCGATCATCATGGTTCACTTCTGTGTAAAAGATACAAAAGGCCCACAAATAGAAGGGTCAGAAGACGAAGCGGAACAGCCAGAAACAGTGATTGTTTCAAACTTCGCAGCTAGAACCACAAAAATAGGGCTGCTCATTGCTTGTGTTACTTTTAATGGCTGGTTGACCACCCTCCTCGTTCCAGCGTTGATCCAGCTGCTTAAGATCAAGGAAGCAGGACCAAACATTCATTGCTCAGTTACCATGACTCAAGGGCCGGAACTCTTGTTACTGGCGCTTGTTAACTTCGCAGGTATGCCCTCTTTATTCCTTATGCACTGGATAAAAGACAAGATTGGATTTCGTAAACTGCAGGGGTTTGTTTCCCTAGTATACGTAGCAAACTTTGTACTGATGCTCACACAACAAAACCTTGTGGTAGCGATTTTAACTAACTTCATAACGAAGTTTTTGGACGGGATAATTGCTATGGGCTACACCTATGTCCTCTACGACGTGAATTACTTCGGACCGTCAAACTTTGAAGTAGGAACTAGCATCGCAACCACAGTTGGCTTGATTGGTGGGATGGCTGGGTCGGCCATGGTCTCATTTGCCTCCACATCATCTGTTATGATCACTGCTGTGGTGGTCAGTGTGGTTCAGGTTATGGTTGTTGTTTCTATGACAGAGGTTCAGTAGCAATATCAAGCTGAATAGGTGAGCAGGTTTAAATATACACGGACAAAAGGTTAGATAGAAAAGTGCTCAACACATTAGGCCAGGTTTCAAAATGAGGAAGTGATCTGGAAGTCCTTTCCGAAACTTTCTTTAGTTAGAGCTGAGGAATAATCTGAAACTGTGTATCTTAGATTCCGTATCAACCCTGACAGCTTAGAATTCTAGACTTACACTTACACTTTACAGTTATGAGTTATATCACTACAAACTTTCGACCTAATATGACCGTTAGACACTCTCACTGCAAAGAGACACAAACATTGTCCACTTTTAGCAGAACATCCCAGATTTCCTGCATGAAAGCGAAGGTGATAGGAAAAGACGGAGACTAAAAACACAAAGGACTGGAGAATAACAATCAGAGAGTCTTCTTCTCAACCTATCTGGGGACCATCCTGGTTCAATCCCTTTGTCATATTTTCAAGTAATTCTAGTTTATCCATATTCCATAAATGTATAATACTTATATAAATACATCTTGAACTTTATTTAATTGTTTCAACCATGTAATATTGTGTTGAACTAGATTAGCGTAATTCCTTCAATTTATGTGATTAATTTCTCATTCATGATACAAGTTTGATTGTGTGTTGTTTTACTGAGAAGCATGAGAATCATGATCAAACTGTACATCATTAAACGACGGTCGTTGCCTTTGCGAATTGAAAATACTGTAAAGATGTAATTTATAGTTTGCTTAACTTTCAAATATTGATAATTCCAAATAACTTGTCTTATAGAATGGAAATGAAAGGTACCGTTTAAAGTTTATTGTTATTATATAGAAAAAAACTGAGTTTCTGGTATTTAGTGTATGCTAGTCAAGCTCTAGTCACGTAACAGTAACACAAACGGCAGGGCGTACCGTATGGTAGAAATGAAACGAGTAAATTAAAATGGAGAAATAATTAAATAGCTAAGTAATACAAAGTGAACGTCAACAGATAAAAGTTCCTCAGTTCGCTTCAAACGATTGACGTGAATATAGATCCCTCGACGTGTCTAATCACAAAAGATAGTGCTCAGTCAGACTGGCTATCGTCAATTCGAATCCCTTAAAATGATTAAAGGGCAACAAAGAAGTGAGCTCGCCACTTCCGCCTCTCCGGGTATACTCTCAAAACTTGTCACGCCATACTGCGTGACGGCACAACGCATCTGCTTGCACGTGACTCACAGTCTCACCAATTAGCACTCCACTAGCAGTCACCCTGCGACCGCAAGGACCAACCACAGGCTTGGCTGACAGTCAGGTGCAAAAGTGAGCGGACGGCTCATTTGAGACAGTAGGTCTGACAGCAAGTCTGCCAGCCAACCGACTTACACTTAAATGTGTAACTCCCAAATACGAATATATAAAAACATTGGTTATTATATACCCGGAAACACATACTAAAATCTCCGTCCCTTAAACGCGTTATACTAAAACTAAGGTATCCTAAAAGATATCTCTAAAAGTAAATACCATATTACAACATCTCTATCCAAACATTTTTTTCGAATATTTTAAAACAATAAAATAATCGCCCTTTTCAAAATTTAAATTTCAATGCTCCCACGCATCAAAATTCCAAAACTTAAAAATAAGTCACGTCTTAAAATATAATACACGGCCCTAACCCTGTGCATTAAATTTCTTCACAATTCTTCCAAAACCTTCCAATACTTCCCCTTTTGCACCAAGTTGTAGAGTCTTTGGTGTGGAGTCTATATCATTAGATAGAGTCAGAGATGTATCTGAATCTCTAAAACGTCCTTGACAAGCAAACAAAGAAGTCAAACTAAATTCGAAAGTTTCTAAATTTCCGTCACTAAAGCAGCCCTGAGCGAGTCGTGTTGAGAGTAAAGATCCTATTATCCCTATCAGTAATGTTCTGAAAGATAACACACGTGTTATTCCAAGAAGGATAAGGTTTTGAACGGCATAATATACGTACGTCTCTACAGAGTCTAAAACTGTACAGTGCTAAACTCTAACTAGTTGTAGAAGTACAACTATATACGCTCTAAGTGTCACTACACTTCACGATACTAATGTATTCTGCCGTCTACTGGTTCAGAAATTTCAAAAGATCCTTGACCAAACTTACTTTCTCGTACCCTAAACGGTCAGGTTGTCTCCGTTCCTCAGGTCTCCTAGTGTTATATCTGCGCTCCTCCCTCGGAGGGCTCTGTCTCCCTAGATCTACAGTAGAAAGCCATCCTGTTGTGTCAATGTCGTGCTCCTCAGTATCACATGACCTAGAACTGTTAGGACCTATCGTTCCTTCACTATCAACCGGACTCGATGATCTTCTAGTGGCCGATCTCTCTCTAGCTGGAGTGAAGAACTCTGCAGAATTATCAATTATCATAACTATCGCCTGAGGGAATGTTATGTGTGAGAAGTGTTACAGTAAGAAAACTAGGATCAGTAGGATTTAGATCTAGGTGAGCAGGTCTAATTACAGTCCTAGGAGTTGAACTAAAACTAGGTTGTTTATAAATGCTAGCTGAACCATCCTTTTCCAGACGAACCTTCTTCGGATGAATCTTTCTTCTCTTCGCTACAACTACTGCTCTCCCTATCCTCAAATCCATCTCCTCACTATCACTATCGGAATAGACTACATCTCGCCTTGATGAGTCCGTTTTTAACTCAGCTTCACTGCTAACAATTTTAGGCAATGTAAAACTAGTCTCTAGTTTCTCAGAAAATTTGTTCCTGACATATCTCTTTAACTTTCCAATGTTAAACACCTTCTTCTCTCCATCAGGCAAATCTAAAGAGTACAAGTGATCGTTTATCTTCTTAGAGATCTTATACGGGCCAACCCAACGAGGACCGAACTTGTGTTTCGGGCAATTTATCAAAACAAACGCTTCCTCACCTTCCTCAAAGAATGGTCCCTTAACGTGCTTATCGTGATATCTCTGTGCATAGCAAAAATCCCGCTCAGCTTGGACCCTCACCTTCCTGGTGATAAACTTGAGATTCTTGTACAGCTCGTACGCTTCAACATCAAACTCATTCTCCTTCCTAGGCTCTAACTCGAAATCCTTACGATTCTCAGCTAGCAGGCTTAACGGTGTGTTTAACTCACGACCAAACACCAATCTGTTGCTAGAATAACCCGTGTGTCGATTTCGCAATAAGTTAAGTGCAAAGACTATTCTAGATAACCAAAGAACCCAGTATCGTCCCGGTGGTAAGCTGGTTCTCAGGGCAGTATTGATATTCAACCGACGGTTCGCTCTCTCAACTCTTCCAGTACTTCGAGATACGTACGGTTGGCCATGAATGTATTTGCAATCTAGGGCTTGAGCTATGGTCTCGAAATAATGAGCTCTAAAACCCGGATGATTATCAGCCATCATGAATCTTGGTTGGCCAAAACGATCAATCCAAAACCTACGAATCATAGACACGCTCTCCTTAGCTGTCTGGGTCTTAGTAGGAATAGCTACCACATAATTCGACCAACAATCGGTTATAGTCAAAATATGCTTGTAACCTCTAGGTGTAGACTGTAGCACCAACCTTCTCAGGAACTATATGATCGAAACAAATTGCTGAGTTAAAGGAGTGGAACAATATGTGCTTGAGGGGTGCCTTATTGTATGCCTAGTATTACATGACTGTGTAATATATACCAACGCTACATAAAATTAAGCAGTAATGAGAGAGAGAGAGAGAGAGAGAGCGATCCCCGTAACTCTTACCGTTTTCTTGCTCAAGCCATTTTATGTAACATTTGTGGTACAAAACCATCAATTAAACCACTCACCACCGGCCGATTTAAAAAAATTTGCTTATGGGCTTCATCAGAGTTTTGTCGGCACTATACCGAAAAAACCAGTCCCGTAACTCTTACCGTTTTTTTTTGTATAACCGTTCGGAAATTACACACGCACAGACGATCAGACACACACACACATTCTGAGATTATTGTTTCTGATAATATTTTCTTTACGTAACAGGGGGAGTACCAGTGCAGAACTCAGAGTAAACTATCCAACGTACAGGGATCAGCCAACGTTTTTATGCGAGGTTAATCGCATTTTTTATCGCACTTTAGCTGTCTGACTGCATTTATTAACTGTCCTATTAAATTAAATAGTTGCTGCAAATTCTTCTAAACTTACAATATTAGAATCGTGATTGGTGACTACAGTTCTTTTGTAATCTTATTCGGACAAAAGTCGCGTGTTACCTAGCACTGTCAACCTCCGGTTAAAGGTCGCCCTGGCAACCAACCCCCTAACTCCTCAGACATACCACAACTAAAGAACACCACATCACGGGCAGTGTTGGTCCAGCAGGGAGGGCAGGCTAGGTTCAGTGTGGATATTACTCTACTTTCTCCTCGAAAATCATCGGAATTTTCCATATCCTGGTCTAGAGACGGTGAGTGGTTTTTGTTCGTTTGTTTGTGTGTTTGTTCGTATGTGTATGTTCGTATTATTGTACGTTTGTTTGCACTGAATTAAGGGCATGACGACCGTTTATATTTGCTTGCGTCTTTAAAACTACCCCTTGTAAGTGTAGTGATGGGTGGTAGTAACTTTAGTAACATATAACTTTACTAAATACTTAATTAATAGTCAATACAGATAACTAAGGAGTAGGCTGTATAGTGTAGATAGAGGATGAGTACAGCTGTTATCATTATGTTGAGCGATTGTACCAAACTAGCTTATTACAGTTAATCAGAGTTAAAAATACTGCAGAATACGTTAATTTATAAAATTCTGCTCTCCAGACTCACCAGCCTTTCCATGATAGTAAAATGAACAATGATATTGATGAAATGAACAATGATATTGATAAAATGAACAATGATATTGACTATATCAGCCATTAAATCAGCAACATCTGCTCCCTGGCCCCTTACTTACATATCGATTATGAAACTAACATCACACCATATTTGAGATTATATACGTTTAATAACGTACCAAAACCTCTGTATGTGTACACACCTGCTTACTAATTAGCAAACAGTAATGTCACGTGACGTTTCACGTGATGTTAAGGGTGTTTATCATCACATACTGCACATCTGTTATATCTGTTAGCTAACAGATATTTGGGATTACCATCGACCATGTTAAAATTGTGGTGCCACCTGGTGAGTATTATTATAGAGGGCACATAATTGCAACTAAATTGAGCATTTACAGTTTAACAAAGTACCCTGTAGCTTAAATTATGTAACATCAACACTTTATAGTGTGTACCTGATGACGGATGACCTGATCTCTAGGAAGCTTTGTATAGTTTAGATCCGTTACAATATAGTTTAGATCCGTTAGAATATAGTTTAGATCCGTTAGAATATAGTTTAGATCCGTTACAATATAGTTTAGATCCGTTAGAATATAGTTTAGATCCGTTAGAATATAGTTTAGGTCAGTTGGAAATGTACGGATAAATGGTCCTTATGATCAGGTTTTTGTCTTATTCTTCTAAATCCTCTCGATCGGGAAGTTCACTGGCATATTGAATAAGACAGTCAATGAGAGACACACTACTCACATTTCTTCAGATGACATAAAAGCTAGAAAGAACATCTTATGTCTAGAAACAGTTATACAATCACTCTAAACATAAAGAACACATCATTTTACAAAAAACACATTATTTTACTCCGCAAGAGTTTGCTTATCTAAGATGAGAGTAAAATAATCATAATATTACTTGTAACTCCACGACGTACAACGCAGTGTGTTGCATATAAAACATGCGTATAGTGACCCTGAAACTGTTGTGCCAGCGCGCTGATTGAACTACCTTATATGGCATAAACTATATCTGTCTCGGGTTATGGTCACCTCATATTACATTATGATTAACATTATTAGAACATATAACGGGATAGTATTATAGTATTATAGTATATCATAGTATTATCTAATATTAGTATTAGAATATACTGCATGGATTTACAGTATCTAACTTGTTAGGGACTAGCTGGTAGATGAGCATTCAACTTTTACACATGTGAGGCCGCTCAGTGGGATCATCCCCATTAAAACCACATAACCCCACGTATTTGACCTCTATACTACGCCCCTACTTAATTTAACTTAAACTTTAAGTATGGGCGTGGAGGTACCTGGGGTTATGTGGTAAAATACGTGGGGTAATTATGTGGTTTTGATAACAGGAGAATAATCATTTACCATTACACATATTGTTGTACCAGACAAAGCGGCCCATCAAAGAAGAACTCTTTATAATAATAGTGACTGAGCATACTCATAGCTCTGTGTGTGAGCAAACCTCGACCGTTTTAGTGTGACATAATTACATACATGAATGAATGAATTGAATGAATGGATGAATGAATTAAGCTAAATAAGGCTATATGAAGGTCTGTTAGGCTATATTAACCTACATTAACCTACATTAACATTTTAACCTAATATTGCGATGTATAACCTACACAGCAGTATGCACGTTATAACTTTGACTCAAAGCGATTGGCAACCTTTTAAATGACTATTAAGTGTATCAAGGTGCCAGTCAGCCTTCCCTCTATTTTTAATATTGTACGTGACTAAGATTTGTACGTGACGGTTGTGGAGACGGTTAAAATTTAACCGATAATCTGAGGATTATTCCAGAATTAAATTATGTAATATTAAATATAATCATACTGTTTAAAAATTATTTTAGTCAGTGACATGTTCTACTAAGAGTAGGTACTGTAATGTCACTAATGTTGCTGTTAACAATACTTTCAAATAGCATTAAACCCGTTTATTAGCAGCGACATTTGTGCGTTCATTTTACAACAAAATTGTTATTCTCCTTCAAGTAGTTTACAACTTGTTAAGTTTTCAAGTCCTTATACTTCCCAGGATATAAACTGTTTCCTCTACCCAGGATATAAACTGTTTCCTCTACCCAGGATATAAACTGTTTCCTCTACCCAGGATATAAACTGTTTCCTCTACCCAGGATATAAACTGTTTCCTCTACCCAGGATATAAACTTTTTCCTCTACCCAGGATATAAACTGTTTCCTCTACCCAGGATATAAACTGTTTCATCTACCCAGGATATAAACTGTTTCCTCTACCCAGGATATAAACTGTTTCCTCTACCCAGGATATAAACTGTTTCCTCTACCCAGGATATAAACTGTTTCCTCTACCCAGGATATAAACTGTTTCCTCTACCCAGGATATAAACTGTTTCCTCTACCCAGGATATAAACTGTTTCCTCTACCCAGGATATAAACTGTTTCCTCTACCCAGGGTATAAACTGTTTCCTCTACCCAGGATATAAACTGTTTCCTCTACCCAGGATATAAACTGTTTCCTCTGCCCAGGATATAAACTGTTTCCTCTGCCCAGGATATAAACTGTTTCCTCTACCCAGGATATAAACTGTTTCCTCTACCCAGGATATAAACTGTTTCCTCTACCCAGGATATAAACTGTTTCCTCTACCCAGGATATAAACTGTTTCCTCTACCCAGGATATAAACTGTTTCCTCTACCCAGGATATAAACTGTTTCCTCTACCCAGGATATAAACTGTTTCCTCTACCCAGGATATAAACTGTTTCCTCTACCCAGGATATAAACTGTTTCCTCTACCCAGGATATAAACTGTTTCCTCCACCCAGGATATAAACTGTTTCCTCCACCCAGGATATAAACTGTTTCCTCTACCCAGGATATAAACTGTTTCCTCTACCCAGGATATAAACTGTTTCCTCTACCCAGGATATAAACTGTTTCCTCTACCCAGGATATAAACTGTTTCCTCTACCCAGGATATAAACTGTTTCCTCTACCCAGTATATCAACTGTTTCCTCTACCCAGGATATAAACTGTTTCCTCTACCCAGGATATAAACTGTTTCCTCTACCCAGGATATAAACTGTTTCCTCTACCCAGGATATAAACTGTTTCCTCTACCCAGGATATAAACTGTTTCCTCTACCCAGGAGATGAGATACAAGAGTACGACACCAGATACCAGTTCCTGGACAACAGCAAAACTCTCAAAATACTCAGTACTGATCTGGTACGTGGTCATTTAATTTAGCTAGATTAATTAATAGTTAATTAGTTAATTACAGTCTTCAGCACGGCTGAATGACAATTGACAATGCTAAGCTGCATACTTAAACCATATGTAAGGGATTTGGCTTGATCCGCGTATTCACGATCGGTTGCGCTTGCTGTAAAGGTGTCATGTAGAGATCTACTACTGCTACTATGTCGGAACTAAGTCCGATCTACGCCAGATAACCCCCTCCATATATCCATGTCCCGCATCAGGGTTCGCAGTTCCTCTTTAGAGTTTGTCCCAACTTCCTTCAGTAACATAGACAAGTAGCTTTGTCTTGGTCGGCCTTGCTGTGCTCTACCATGCATAGGTTCCCATAAGACTAAATCACTGGCAAGTAGCTTAGGATGTCTGATGCAGTGTCTACTGTCTCGTAGAGATCTTTCATATATAAATTATAACGTAAGCCATTTTTGACCATTTCAAAGCCCCCACTTCTCCGTAAGCCATTTTATAAATATTTACTGTGTAGAAATAACACTAAAATTGTTATTTAGTTTGGCTAACTTACCTTCACACTTTATGTTGCAGCGTATACACGTAACTTGATATACGAAACTGTTCTAAAATTTAGCTATGAAACTATCCTAAATGGAGCAAATCTGAAAAACGGTTTTTAAGTGGTCCGCAAAGCGATATTATACACTTGGCAAACGTAATATGTGAAATGGTTATAAAGTCCTGATTATGGTCTTTATAGTCGTGAATATAGTCTCTATAGTCGTGAATATAGTCTCTATAGTCCTGAATATAGTATCTATAGTTGTGAATATAGTCCCTATAGTCCTGAATATATTCTCTATAGTCCTGAATATAGTCTCTATAGTCCTGAATATAGTCTCTATAGTTGTGAATATAGTCCCTATAGTCCTGAATATATTCTCTATAGTCCTGAATATAGTCTCTATAGTCCTGAATATAGTCTCTATAGTCCTGAATATAGTCTCTATAGTCGTGAATATAGTCTCTATAGTCCTGAATACAGTCTCTATAGTCATGAATATAGTCTCTATAGTCCTGAATATAGTCTCTATAGTCCTGAATATATTCTCTATAGTCCTGAATATAGTCTCTATAGTCCTGAATATAGTCTTTATATAATAATAGTCTCAGCAGTATAACTTAGACCTACAAGATCTGATGAAGTTCGTTAATTAACACCACTTCAACAAGAGTATACTGATCATGATGCTACTATTTGTTGGGAGCTTTACATGTAAACGTGTACATGTGGATTAGTCGTGAGTTTCAGGAAATATGAAGAGTTTTAGTGTATAAAATAAAGTATAAACAGTAAAAATAATATGAACCACTGGTACAAGATTCTAGAAAATAAAAGAATGTTGTTGTCCTCAGGTATGTACTATTCTTTCCGTATTCTTTTACATTTTTTAGTCTCACATGTTACTATATTACAAATTCCCTATTAACATAGCTAGCTGATAGTTGCATCATAGACGTATAAAGTCCAACTCGATAAAAATATCATCAAACATTTAATATGTAGCAAATAGCAATAGAACTGAACTGGCATCAATAATTTATGTTATGGCATCAATAATTTATGTTATACTATCACGGGTCATATTAAAGAATTCGACACATAAATTCGACACAGGTAGCAATAAACAGAATGTAGTATAAACCACAACATGAACGTCTCAATGTACTCTAAAAGAACGGAATGAACCAAATAAAGCGTCCATCACAACTAACAACCTCAATCTCCTCTACACTACCCACGAGCTGGTCTATGAGCAGAGACACAGCAGCCGTATCTGAGATAGAAATAGGAAGAGTAATAGTAGAGTCCAACAAAGCAGAGCTGGAGAAGCCAGCTGAGCCCACGTTAACAGGGTACTTATGTGGGGAGTTGAAGGTGTTTAACATCAGGGGGTTACACTTGAACTCTTCTCCCGCCAGCAGTGTAGGCCAGATCCCCACTCTTTTCACTTGTCTCATCTTCTCGAAAACGCTTGCGGAGTAAACCCGGTCAGTGTTAGCAAAGTGTACAACCCCACCTGTGAAGTTGCCCGGGTGAGACCTCATGAACTGTAGAGCTGTGTTTCTCAGTCCGTTACACAAGTTGCCACTCCGTACCCGGCCCTCACTGCTCAGGTGGTAGTGTGGAATGTGGCATGTGGCCAGGAAATCCTTGACACGTGGTGTCCTCCCGTACTGTTCCACCACTATCCACTGTAGGTTGGAGATACCGGAGAGGGATTGGGAGAGGATGGTTAGTTCAGCTAGTTGGGTGGGGCGTGTGTAGATGGGGGTTATTATGTAGAGAGGAGTCTTGCTTTCTTCATCTGAGGTATCGGAACATGAGAGGAATTATGGTGATTTGTTTCTTTGACCCATTAGGGACGATAGGGTCGTTTACGACCCACCTTTTCTAGAGGCTATAGAGGACAAACCATAATACTAAACGCAACGAATCTTTCGCACATAAGCTCAAAATTTATTGGGCTACATTATTGACTTTCCAGTCGAGACCCAATTAATTACTAACAACTAAATAATTAGGCTAATTAGTCGTCATAATTGGAAAATATTTCACTTTACTTCTTGCCTTGGTTGAGGACAAAATAGTTGCGGGCAACGATTTCCTTGAGACATATGAAAAGCCCGTGATAATCAGATGTTCACAAACAGAGCTAGACGCTGTTTACTAACTGCGGTCGCATACGACCCACTCGTCCGGGTCGCAAACGACCCATCACGGTTTTTCGGCTTTAACTTCTGAAACAAAGACGTTAGGATAAAATAAAAACTGTAGCATAAGTTAAAAACATATGGTCAATACTGTGTAACTCTACCCTTTAAAAATAAAGAATTTGGGTCATTAACGACCCACTCGGCTCACTTGCTTATTACTACATATGTCCATGTAACTTCTTGAATTCAGCCTAAAGCATGACATCATAAGTTCAAAATCGCCTCTCAGCAAGTGATAATCATCATAAACTGCGAAAAATCGGTTAAATGGGTCATTAGCGACCCACTAGGACCACAAAATTGATTAATTAAATATAATGTTGTCAAACTTTTACAAATATTAGTATAAAAACATGTTATATCTTGGTCATTACTCCTGTACGTTGATTTAACTTTTAAAATCGATCAACTGGGTCAATAACGACCCACTCGGAAGTTGAACCACCTCATCAATTATTATCAGTATCATGCTGTTCCACCATCAAGAAAGACACTCGTAGGTCTTAATTCCACGCAAACCACGGGTGGCTGACTACTAGCCCTTCTGAGATCCAGGGCCAACTGAAGGGCCGTCATCACTCATCAAAGAGCTGCGAGAATAACACTACTGCATATGCCTGGAGTTGCGTCCTGACTATAATACTATGGTGCGTGGAAATCTGTACCGAAAGGACCGTGGCCGTGCCGCAAAAGAAAAGGAATCGGCCTTCGTTCCTAACTTGCTAGGTAATAGCCATGCTGTTGTTGTTGCTTATTAGATTCTGTTACCTTTTTCGTCAATTTCGAATCTTGGTAAACGACCTGCTACAACCCACCGCTTGAGACCCAGGGTCCCACGGTGATCAGATCATGTCACTCAAGAAAAATCCCCTGAACGAAGTATACGAGATATCATGTAACCTTGGGTAAATACTGAAAGACGAGTGGTCAAATTGCATATTCTAATCCAACATGCCAATATGTTTTTTTCATTCCTAGAAAGTACGAGAATAACTAAACAACTGCTGCATTCAGATGGCTACATCTACAGCTCTGTGAAGAAGGACAAGGAAAAAGCTCCCCCCCCCCCCCATTTGGCTGGCGGTGCTGCAACCTGCAATCTCTCAGACAACTACCTCGTTTTGGGTAACAAACCCCGCAACAACGAGGCAGCTTTCAAAACGAAAACAAGTATTACGTAATCGGCTGAGAGGGAGGGGAGTTTCCAAATGATTAAGCTTGTGTAATTTTGACATAATAGCTATGTGGTGGGGGGGGGGGGGGGCGTAAAAATTGTCCAATAAGTGATTACGTAATATATGAACGGCCCCTAAGAAGTAAAGAAAGGGAGCTGCGAAGAGAGTAGATGCAGCCATCTGAAATCTGAATCCAGCAGTTGTATACAATGTATAGTTCTTCTTGGACGTTCTAGGAATCGGGAAAAGATAGGCATGTTGTTTGCTGTCTCACGACATTACGGTCATGTACTAACAGCTGATAAACTCACCTACCTATCAATCCAATTCTGCCCATTATTCGTCAGTCATTGGGTGACGCGATCTGCAGATTACCGTGAGACTCCAGATCTCAGAAGGGCTAGTAGTCAGCCACCCGTGGTTTGCGTGGAATTAAGACCTACGAGTGTCTTTCTTGATGGTAGAACAACATGATACTGATAATTAATGTCGTGGTTCAACTTCCGAGTGGGTCGTTATTGACCCAGTTGATCGATTTTAAAATTTAAATCAACGTACAGGAGTAATGACCAAGATATAACATGTTTTTATACTAATATTTGTAAAAGTCTGTCAACATTATATTTAATTAATCAATTCTGTGGTCTTAGTGGGTCGCTAATGACCCATTTAACCGATTTTTCGCAGTTTATGATGATTATCACTTGCTGAGAGGCGATTTTGAACTTATGATGTCATGCTTTAGGCTGAATTCAAGAAGTTACATGGACATATGTAGTAATAAGCAAGTGAGCCGAGTGGGTCGTTAATGACCCAAATTCTTTATTTTTAAAATGTTAGAGTCACACAGTATTGACCATATGTTTTTAACTTATGCTTTTTATTTTATTTTATCCTAACGTCTTTGTTTCAGAAGTTAAAGCCGAAAAACCGTGATGGGTCGTTTGCGACCCGTACGAGTGGGTCGTATGCGACCATAGCTGTATCTTTTAAAGTAAACGAGATACAGATTAGCTTTTTTGGATATCTCATTTTTGCTGTAAAGTGACCTAGTGTGTTAAACGGCATCAAAATCGGCAAACTTTAAAACTCGTCGTCCCTAATGGGTTAAAATGCTTATAATTCAGGAATCCAGAATCATAATTTAGTCCTTATAAGGTAATGATTTTCAAAACACAACCAGCTGATTTGTAACAAGAAATCACTCCATCAGCTATTTTGTGCTAGAGAATGACTCACTATCAGCTAATTTGTGATAACGAATTACTGATAAGTCATAGATACCAACTTACCTGTCCCCTGCTCTGCTTCACAAGTGTATCCGCACCACTTTACCGCATTCCTCTCTACTCTCCTGCACTTCCCCACTTGCTTATCTGATAATCTCTTATCTGAATCTGTTATCGTGCAGTTCTCTAGCAGTACTGGCTGGAAATGTGTTATTATAGCCATGACATATTTACTATCATTACTAGCACCTTCCTATTTGTTCAAATAAACACCTAAATGCACTAAAACAAATACTGGGGTCGACCATGATGTGGATTTAAAATGTTTCACAGCACAAGCAGGTTCAGAACAAGCCGGTTCAGAAGAAGCCGGTTCAGAACAAGCAGGTTCAGAACAAGCAGGTTTAGAACAAGCAGTTTCCAAACAAGCAGGTTCAGAACAAGCAGGTTCAGAACAAGCAGGTTTAGAACAAGCAGGTTCAAGCACGTTCCAAACAAGCAGGTTCAGAACAATCAGGTTCAGAACAAGCAGGTTAAACACAAAAGAATAACCTGGTAGCCCCCCTCTCGACAGTCCTTCATCCTCCCCAGAGCAACATCACACGAGTTACCAGAACAAAGCAACTGCAGCGAGAGGAGAAATAAACCCTGCAAAACTAGTCTCATGTCTTGGATTACCCTGGTACAATAACGTGAAGTTATTGTGGGGATTTTGGAAATGTAACATGTCTGATACGGTGATGACGGGTGATGTATCGTCAAAAGTGTCAGATATATATATTGTTATAATTGTCAGATTGTTGTGGCGATTTTAGCGACACTTAAAGGAGTCGCCGTGAAGTCTTGACCCAGATCTCAAGAACGACCAGGACATAGGTTAATGTTTAGAGTGTGATGAAGGGGTAACTCATGACTGCCGGATTTTGTTCATATGTTTTAGTTATCTAAATCAAATTCTAGAAGCAATACGACGACCGGATGCTGACAAACTTATATAAGAACAGCCAAAGAATGTCGGACTCCGAAACACTGAACTCTGATAAGTCCATCAGTGTTAATTGAAATACTTAAATTTTCAACACTTTATTCAAATTGTTTATTCGACAAATCATCGCCGCTATTGTCTTATATGCTAAGAATACGACCGCACTGATACAATATGGAGATACCAAGAATCTAGCTCCGCTGATTCGATTAACTAAAACTGTTAAAAACGATTCTGCGGAGGCTGTTGCAGAAGATTTACCACGGCAATTTATTTGCACGGAAATTGTAGCTGCATTGTGAGTCTTTGTTTCAGTGTTCTAATCATCACATCGTCCATTTTTACCGCAACAGTCTGTGAGAAGCTCGAGGTTCAGGAGCAAGGAGATATTAAATATCCATGTCCCCCCCCCCCCCAGGCCCCCATGTTGAGGATCTTAAGGATTTACTGATGGCTTCAATGAAGAACACAATAGCTCTGACGGATGTTGTGAAAGGATTAGTGATAGATGTAGTCTCTAGCTGCTGCCAGGTTAAATCTTGCGGTGACATCACTCCTGCTCCTCCCGAGTTGTATACACGTTGTACTGCCAATAAAATAACTAGTTGATATGTTAGTAATATTACTGATTAATCAACCAATGACCCCACAGTCGGAGGAAGGAGGGTACAGTGTAGAAGCGAGGAACAATAACGGTAGCAGCACCCTACATTTCTACCTCACTTTCTCCGGGAGGAGCAGTGCTCCTGTAGTTTATAATGTTGTAGCTCCTGACACACTGCTACAGGGCGAAACGGTTAGAGCTCACATTTACATCTTGCTTTACAAGTTTACAGTCGTTATTATCATATTTACTAAGCTTCTGATGATTGTAAACTGCTGGTGCATTTTTTGTTTGGCTAAAAATTAAATGGTAAAATAGTGAAATAGAGGTGGTTGTGTTTATCGATGATTGTCATGTTAGAGTAAAGTGACTACTGCAAGTAAAGCCCTGCAAACCCAAAACCACAAACTTATATCAAAATATTCAAACTATTCATACTATTCAAACTATTCATACTATTCAAACTATTCATACTATTCAAACTATTCATACTATTCAAACTATTCGCACTATTTGCACTATTCAGGTGACCCTGTATTGCAGTGTGGGTGGTAACCCCGTCCCGAAGGTATCCTGGTACTTTGGTAACTCCCTCTTAACAACGAGGTAAGTGCGACGAAAAGTTGGCAGTAAAACGAGTTTTACGGAGGTCGGATGGTCAAAGGAAACAATGTAGATTAGTTAACATATGTTAACAAATATCATGTGGTTAATTAACATTCACCCAACCGCTCATTTTGGTAGTGTTACGATGAGAGAAATGAAGAGCTGAAGAGAATGTGAATTACGGAGATACGCTCGCCAGTCGCCACACATATTTAGACAAAAAGATTTAAGAAAAAATGATTGTTACGACTTTATAATTCAGAACATTGATTATCACTGAGATTCTCTTGTAGAAAGTAACTTTTTTCAGCTCAGTGGTAGTGTTATCTAACGTGACGTCACGTGATAGCGGGAACTATGAATGTCGAGGATCCAACTCAATTGGCTCCGGCAGTGCCACCAGATATGTGAAGATTAGAGGTACTGAAACAGTCAAATTATTTCATGGTGTGGGTACTTAATCTGGTATTACTAGGGTTATTTTGTTGTTTATTATAGCTACAGTGTTCGGCGTTCGCATCTGAACATGGGTCATTTTTCATTAGATGACCTCTGAACTTGACTTTTCTCTATTATCAATTTGAGTTTTGTTTTTTAATCATTTCAAATAGTGAATACCATTCCAGGCACACCTCGTGTGACGGCGAAGGTTAGTCCTCTAGTCGAAAATGTGGGGAGAACAGCGACTCTTCAAGTTTACGTGGACGTGGAAACATATATGAACCCATTAGATACCAAGGTTATTTTTCATCATTTGTATTATGTGAATTTAGTAGAACTGACTTTTTAAATTATTTTAAATATGATCTGCTTCGTTACTCTTCACAATTTTAATAATTTTAACAGGAACGCGCAAAATCATTTTAGATAAGAAAATGTCATAGCGTTAATGCTTTTATGGCGCGCGCTCATATATATATGCATGGTGCCGGTGCACTGCACTAGAAGATGCCATCTTGCTTTGTACATTTTAATCGTGTAGCCAATTTGGGTTCGTCCAGCTTCTCCATTTCAGTTAACTTGGAGTAGAAGCGATGGCAATTTAATTGACTCCCGAGTTTCTTATCAAGACAATATGAGAAAACTTGTCATCTATAACACTGAAGTAAGTTAATCCTACTTCTTACCTTTTGCGCTAGGCTTTGAGGGCACAACACTCCAAATCGATTGATTTCGACTATCTTCAAACGCACTGTTAACAATAACTACATTAGTATTTTGTGCCGAAATAACTTAGTTTCAACCTCGATAACAGGAGGCAGACGCTGGTACGTACATCATTAGAGCTTCAAATCCAGAGTTCAACATCAGGGAAACTTCCATCTTATTGAAAATAACCAGTTAGTTCTTTAGTACTTCTCCCAGTTAATCACCTCCTCGTGAGTTTATTTGATGTACTCCTTCTTGTGATCCCTATTAGTGTTACCGGACAAATATGACCTTTTGATTCTAATTTCTCACCTTCATGTTTATTTCAATCCCAAGCAGAAAATCCAGTTTTGTCGTCCCCTACTATGAAACAGACTTCTCTTGTGGGCAGCGCAGCGCGTCTTCTTGTGAGTACTTGTGTTCTTGTGTTATTTTGTGTTCTTGTGTTCTTGTGAGTACTTGTGTTCTTGTGAGTACTTGTGTTCTTGTGAGTACTTGCGTTCTTGTGAGTACTTGTGTTCTTGTGAGTACTTGTGTTCTTCTGAGTACTTGTGTTCTTGTGAGTACTTGTGTTCTTGTGAGTACTTGTGTTCTTGTGAGTACTTGTGTTCTTTTGAGTACTTGTGTTCTTGTGAGTACTTGTGTTCTTGTGAGTTCTTGTGTTCTTGTGAGTACTTGTGTTCTTGTGAGTACTTGTGTTCTTGTGAGTACTTGTGTTCTTGTTGCTTATTCTCATCTGTAAAATTACGGTTCACTAAAATTCTCATCACAAAACACAGTATTAGTATTCGAACTTTTTATTTAGAATTAAAACAAGTCCTTCATAATATGGACTATGGGGCCAGGGTGTGAACTGGCTACACCTGGTTAAAGCACTTGCATCCCATTACATAATACCCAATAAATGTTACAGATCTGTAGTGTTGTAATTAATTTATGATAGTATCATAATAGAAACTGTGCAGGTAGTGGCAGATGCATTGCCCAGACCGGACCCTTCCCAGATTAGATGGACTCGAAACAACTCCATGGTTGTCATGACTACCGTGTCCAGTGATGGGATGTCCCTCATTCTCTCTGATGTTCAACCCACACATACTGGAGTTTACAGGTTTCCAGATTGGTTTTCAGATTGGTATGGGGATTAGCAATGGACATCTTGATTTGGAGAATTTCCATAGCTGTCGACTGCCTAATTTGGAAACTTTAATCGAGGAAATGATATTAGGTTACAGGGTCATAACGATGTCTATTTATTTCAGGTTCCAGTATCTGAACAGTCTTATTGATATGACTCTTGTTGTTCAGCGTGAGTTAATGGAAATCTTCATATGGACCTGAATAATGAATTGCGTGGCAGAATAAAATCTTTGTTTCGCAGTCGTATCACTTTTATGTTCCCAGAATAATACCCCCAGTTGTCCTCAATATATTTGCCTCTACCTTACATACTGTTGCACACTGTTACAAACTGTTACACACTATTACACACTGTTACACAATGTTACACACTGTTACACACTGTTACACACTGTTACACACTGTTACACACTGTTACACACTGTTACACACTGTTACACGCTTATACTAAACTTCTTCCCCACAGAACCTCCGCACATCTTTAGAGCAAGTAAAGTTCAACAAACTGTTGCTGTGTTCGGGGAGGCTAGTTTCGTCTGTAGTTTTACAGGTTAGTTTATAAAACATGGGGCACCAAATTGGCGTGAACACGTGATTCTAGCACTGTTTAATTTTCTTATAAAAGATAAGGTTTAATTACCGTCCATATGTACGAAAGGTTTATAAATATAAAATGTTTCCTTGTGCTTGAAGTTTGATATGGAAATCTTACAGGTTACCCGTTTCCAACTGTAAGGTGGTATCAGGGATACAATGAACTGTTGAACAGTAACACTCGTTATGAAATATCTCCTGATCTTACAGTTCTCAAGATTCGTAACGTTCAGGTTCGCTAACCTTCTCAATCTTAATAACACCAACGGTCATAGACTAGAATTATACTTACTGATTACTGAACCTGATTCTAACCTACCAAATGGCAAGTATTTACATCTGATTTGGTTAATATCTGCAGGGTAAACCGCAGTAATGAAAAAACCTGTTATCTCGATATTAATTACCAGGGAATCAATTGAACTGTATTGTATATAATATCATATATACTATATATAGTATCTTTCTGAAACTCTTCATTTTGTTATTTTTACTGAATTTCGACTAACAACAATAACTTTCACCTGGTTAAATTCTAGACTCATGCCCCTCAGAGATCGGACAGTACAGCTCAATACCGGTGCGAGATTACAAACGATGCAGGATCTGACTCGGCTACTTTCCAGCTTACCGTCACTACCCTTCCTGTTATCACAGCTCTGCAGAGCGTGATTGAGGTGAGCACACTGGTGACGTCACGTGATGTTGTAGACTGTAGTGACGTCACGTGATGTTGTAGACTGTAGTGAAGTCACGTGATGTTTTAGTGACGTCACGTGATGTTGTGATGATGTCACGTGATGTTAAGGTGATATGTATAAATGTTTTTCCCCTTTTACTATCCGAATACCAACTTGTCACTGACAACACTACAGATCGAATCTGAAGGAGAACGAGTAGTCCTACAAGTAGCGATATCCGGAGGTAACCCAACTCTGGACCTCACATGGACAACCCCCAGGGGACTGGATATCTTCGTGTCTTCTGGTGACTCTTTTTTTTCTTTTCTTTTTTCTTTTTTTCTTCTATCGATTCTAACTTATTAGTCTTTTAATTTAATCCTAGTCATGTCCTTTCTTCGTTTACAGTATGAAACTTATGCAGGAAGGTTGAAAAGAACTGTCTTACTGTCATGAAGATGTAACTAGGTGAGACTGAGCTGATAGTCGTGCGCGGCGGGTCTACTTACCTGTAGTCTACAGGTAAGTAGACCCGCCGGTCTCGCCTAGTTACATCTTCATGACAGTAATAATTCAACTTTTAAATATAAAGGCTGATTTGACTCACATCGTTGATGTAAAAGTGTAAATATTAAACGGTTTTATTTTCCTCACTACATTTATTTAATTGAACGACAGGCCGGTTCAGTTTAAGTAACATGAATCGAAGGTTGACGATATCTGACACGCGGTATCAGGACGCGGGTACTTACACGTGCAAACTGTACAGTGGCTCTGACACTGTTAGTCAGACTGTAACACTCCGCAAACCAGGTTAGTTGTTAGATTATGGCACGTGACACGTGGGTTTTAACACGTGAAAAGTGCTTTTTAACACATGACACGTGGGTTTTAACACGTGGCACGTGCGTTTTGTTGATAATGCAGCTTGGCCGGTTTATGCTTTAATTGGTATTACTGTCTGTTTTGTGTTCATGTTGGACAATGAGTGGTTATATCTAACACATATATATGTGACACATCACATGACATCAAGTCACGTGATTAAAGAAGGCCCTCAACTCTCATATATGTTCGACTATTTCAGATACCATGCCGACTGTAACTGTTTTAAACAGTGTGACAGTGATCGCTGGCTCTACTGCCACATTCCGCGCATATTACACGGTTTGTTCTCTTTCATCTTTGTTGAGATGACGTCATCATGACGTCACGGGACTTTATGATGATGAATATCATCCGCTAGAACAACTGTTAAATTAGTTTATACGTTATATCGATAACTGGAGTAAATACTTACAGCAATGTGGTAAAATACTCTAGTACATTAGCAGCCGGCAAGACACTCTCACGATGTTATATCTTAGGGTTCAGTAACAAGTGTTCAGTTTCACGATGTTATATTTTAGGGTTCAATAACAAGTGTTCAGTTTCACGATGTTATATTTTAGGGTTCAGTAACAAGTGTTCAGTTTCACGATGTTATATTTTAGGGTTCAATAACAAGTGTTCAGTTTCACGATGTTATATTTTAGGGTTCAGTAACAAATGTTCAGTTTCACGATGTTATATTTTAGGGTTCAATAACAAGTGTTCAGTTTCACGATGTTATATTTTAGGGTTCAGTCACAAGTGTTCAGTTTCACGATGTTATATTTTAGGGTTCAGTAACAAGTGTTCAGTGGTTTAAAGACAGTACCACCCTGAACTCCAACTACAAATATCAGAGTTCTTCCTATACAGTGAGTACTGATCGAGACTCGTGGGTTCATCGAACAGCGAACAATTCAATCTTAAATTGAACGCATGAACTAGATCATGCAGAAATACATTAGTGCAGTTCCTTTGTTAATTAAACTTCTGTAGAATTTAAGATATGAAATTGTGCAAGAACTCAACTTGTATTGAATTTGACAAGTTCAGTCATGTTTCGATCACGTGTCACATTACATGATCACGTAAGGTTTTTGGAAGGTACGGAATCGCATTATTTACAAAATATTACCGCACTTACAAGTTGCCTCTGATATACAGTTGAAAAGAATTTATGTTCTGTTAGGTTTAACTCTCGAAGTAAACGTTTGATATAGTAATACCAAATTTCGAGAGTTATGCAACACATCTATTATCTGATATCTGGACTGCAGTTGTAACAAACTTGTAATTTAACAAAGAAAATAAGAGCTAAAAATAGCTGGTTGCTCTTTCATAAATAATCAAAAGATGTTTAAAACCGTACCAATGTTTCGTGAACACCCTGTATGTGATTAATTAATTGATTAATCATCACAGGAGACACAAGAACTAACAGTGAACAATGCCCAATTCTCAGACTCAGGACAATACACCCTTACTATATCTACCTTTGTTCCTTCTGTCTCTGCTTCTGCTTCTTTAGGTTTGTTTACCATTTTATCCACGAATCTTTAAATTATTTTCTTGCAATTTTGGTATGTATGTTTCATGTATGTGTCAGGTTTGTTTCAGGTATGTTTGTATTTTTGATATCTATCAAATTTTTTAATTTTTTAATTAAATTTTTAATTCACTCAAGACTATTTGTGAATACAAATAGTATTTAATCCTTGATCAACTCTGTGTAATCTAAATGAGAGCTGATTGAAAAAAAAATTGAGAACCGATGTCCAGTTCCACCCCCCAGCTTATGGTGCTACTCAGTGGCTCGCGCTGAAAAGCGCCCCCCTTTTGTATTGGCGCCCGCTCCCTTTTTGGCGCCCCTCCCTAAAATTGAACAAATTATTTTAAACATTATTTGAGAGTTCAAATACGTTAAGTTCAATGTTGTAGATCACCGCTTGAGCAGCAGCAATGAGAGCTGCGGTTCCAACCAGGATCTTTATCATCTAGAAATTATGAGAACAAGAACAAACAATTTAAGAGTTCAAATCATGTTCTCAACGGTCAGGAATGTTTATAATTAAGGTATTCCTCAAGACCAGAGCATGTTTCTCGTGCCTTTTTCTATGTGATCCGTTTGCTCGAGTCAAATCACCAGATGCCACGTGTCAACTTGGCTGACGGACAACTAGGAACCTTTCAATTTTACCTAGTTAACTAATTAACATGCAAGCTTGGGAAATCTAATCAGCTCCGACAACTAGGAACCAATCATTACATATCCCCGACAACTAGGAACCTCTGGAGATACTTTAAACATTCAGGTGTCCACCGATTTCACAGCTGTGCTGTATATATTTCTGCACTCATTAATTAAAAGTGCAACACCCAGTCGATCGATATGGTAATCAGTGATCACCTGCTGCTCCCTAATAGCACGGAAGTACTCTTGCACGGTCGGCTTGGGTCGATTCACCCTGGATTTAAATCCACGATGAAAACCCTCGACCATGTTAGAGGTCCGGGGAAACTCCGGATCCTCCAACGTGTTGGAATAGTGATTCCAGAACGTCAAAGGAAACTTGGGAGGAACCCTTTCCTCACTGTCGACAGTTACTGACCCAAGGTAGGTTTTCTCGAAATAATTTACCACAACCATTAACTGAGGATAGTTAGCTTGGATGTAGTATGTTATTTGGTAGAACACCTCCTCAACATCAGCAACTGGGACAAAGGCGAGAAACACAACCAGCCTTGCGGCTCTAGCAAACTTCTTATCAGAATTTCTCTATGGAGAAAGCAGGCATGTTGAATTGAAACCGATACTCTTCATGTTCACGTTTCAGTATATATACCAGAAGTGCGGTTGTATATTAACAGCTATCAACTCTCGCACTTGTGATTTTATGTCTCGTATCACTCCCATTGCATGCTCGGCTCACATCCTTGGATACGAGAACCAGCCCCTTTCGGACCCAGCTCACATCCTTGGATACGAGAACCAGCCCCTTTCGGACCCGGCTCACGTCCGTAATGTGAACACATACCGAGAGCTCAAACACTTCTTAATATACTTCATAATACACAGCTACTTACTAAACTGTCATGTGAACCCTACCCAGGTTCTTGGTTGTCCGGCTGTTAGGATGGTTATAATATGGATCACATCACAAATGATACGTCACTGATTGGGCCATGTGATGTGATACCTGTGGGAGGCCGAAATGAAAGGTTCCTAGTTGTCGGTCACCGGTCAACTTACGTGACCAATGTTAGGATCCTGATTGGACACGGTTTACTCACGCTACAAACGTCCTTTTCCCTTAGAATTAGGTAAGGTCTGGTGTGTCACGTGCTCTTCATTAGTTCATTGTCTTTTCTCGACTGACTTACACTCGTTAGTTTGATTTTATCTGATAATTGTCGTTAACATGCCGTGCACTTAACCCTTGATCGTATCAAAATTAATTTCCGAATAACTTTTCATGTTGAGAAATATCATTGTGAATGTTTGGTCTTTAGTGAAAACACATACACATGATCTAATATATATTTTATTGAAACTCTCCTCATATATTGTGATGTTTTTACGTTCATCAAAGCTTTCTTTGGGAATAGAACTTTCAGCACCTCTAACGTGTCTCGATAGATGGTCATTGAAAAAAAAATCAGTCAAAATAGTGAAATTTGGGTCACAGAAAGCAGAAATTCGAAAATGTCCTACCGGTAGGACATATTCAAGATTTTCATTGCATCAACGTTTCTCCGGTTATACTGCTTCCAGTAACTTGATGGCGACTTTTGTCACTCTCACAGACCTTACAGATTAAATTTTTGAAAGAATAAAAATGCCGATGTTGAGGCAGTTTTAATTCCAAGTAAATTTTACTTATAATGAAACATTTTATCAACAAAAATTAAGACGGAAAAACGTGAACATCGATATAATTTCCACATTATATGACATATATTGATTAAAATCAAAGCAAAACCAAATAAAATTCTGGTTACATTCTCATAATAATGATGCTCACTAAAAAACCGCCCAACTCTTACAAAAACAATATGACTTAGTCCTGGATCGATTTAGAAATTATGCACACCACATCTTGGCTAGGACTCCCTCAGAGGTATCAGTTGAAATCCATATATCGCCGGCATTATCTCCGCTGACTGTGGTGGCTGATCCATCGCTGGAGACAGAGACACTATCCAACAACACGGCATCAGCAGATCCAGCTGAGAGAACCAAACATGCCAGGTCACCCAAATCTACTCCGAAGTCTCTGTTGACAGTGACGGTGCTGGATTGCGGGAATTCTATGGCTAACATTCCCAGAGCCAGCTGAGCACCGTTGCTTCCAATCAGAGTTGCGTAGAGACCTCCACCTGTTCCCGAATAAGCTTGACTTTTGGTTTTTATATCCACGCTGTAGCTCACTGCTTGAGCAGCAGCAATGAGGGCTACGGTTAGAACCAGGAACTTCATCGTCTAGAAATGAGAAAACAATTAGAACGGACAATTTAAGAGTTGAAATAATGTTCTGAACGGTTGAGGGTGGTTATATGTATTCCTCACGCCCAGAGCATGTTTCTCGTGCACTTTTTTCTATGGGGTCCGTCTGGTTGAGTCGAAACCTCTCAACTGATTCCATTTGCTTCCCGATGTCACGTGATCACGGTTAGGATCCTGATTGAACACGGGTTTACTCATGCTAACGTCATTTTCCTTTGGAATTACGTTCCAGGATTAGTATGTCTGTTAATTGTCGTTAGCATGCACATTGCACATAATCGTGTCTAAAAATCAAGTCTCAAAATCTTCAAATTACTTTTCTCGTTGAGATATATCACTGTGAAAGCTTGATTCCATTTGCTTCCTGATGTCACGTGATCACGGTTAAGATCCTGATTGAACACGGGTTTACTCATGCTAACGTCATTTTCCTTTGGAATTACGTTCCAGGATTAGTATGTCTGTTAATTGTCGTTAGCATGCACATAATCGTGTCTAAAAATCAAGTCTCAAAATCTTCAAATTACTTTTCTCGTTGAGAAATAACACTGTGAACGCTTGGTATTTAGTAATAACACATATGCACGTCTAATTATAATATATGCTTAATTATTAGTCTGTTGACAAATCTTACCGATCATACGACTGTTAACAGGGGGGGGGGGGGAGGAGTAGAGGCACAGGGAGACTAAAGTGCAAAGAAAACTGCTGCTAACTGCTGCTGACTGCTGCTAACTCAGACTGCTGCTGATTGCTGCTGTTCGATTGTAAAGTACGGTATATATTATGTGAGAAGTGGAACTACATTGGATACTATAATTGTCAATACAATGCTACCTTAGAGAATGTATGCTCAAACCCAGGATTGATTGTATGATAACAGTAGTATACATTGTATATTGCATATTGTAATAATTATTTCAACGGCAGATCTGTTTTCGTAAAAGAGAAACTTCATTTGCAGTCTATTTGGTCAAATTTCAGAAGTCTAGATCTAGAACCCAACTCTGGGATGAATATGGCAACTGCAGAAAATAATCTTGCTGAAAGAAATCGATGATGTCCACTCCGAATAACTGTACAGGGACCAGGAGGACCGCATTGTAAAGGAGGACTGCGTTCAGCGTTGCATATTTTGGAGAATGATTTTTTGAAAACGTATATTTTTAGATATCAAGCCTATTTCAAAACACTGTATTGTATGATCTGATAGATTCTACACAATTGTGGTTGCATATTGATACCCCGGCTAGTTAGCGCTTTGAGTCTCTGATTAAATTTAGATGATTTAATCACATTTTTGAAAGAATAAACATGCCATTGTTAGTATAGTTAAAACAAATACCAGTTGATGTTAAAAATGTGAACATCGAAGTAATTGCTACTTAGACCGATTAAAATCAAAATCGAACCAAATTTAATTCTGGCTATCATTTTATGATACTTGATAGTGATGCTTACTCAAAAACCGCCCAAATCGTTCTATAGAGAAATAGTTCTAAAAAATAAAATTATCGACCAACAATATGACTAAGTCCTGGATCAATTTAAAGATTAATCATATTTGTGGATCGGGATGAACCATGTCATGCCCAGGTCGTCCTTAGTCCACTCCTGGTAAAAACGGACTGATTTGTATGATTCATCGCTGGAGACAGTGAAGTCAGCGACTCCATCTAACCAGAATGGCAATCCAGCTGGGACAACAAAACATTCTAGGTCATTCCACTCCTTCATACTTAATAGGGTGGTGCTATCTTGCACTTGTCAGCCAACTTTCCCAGAGACTGTTCTCCGCCGCTGCTTCCAATGGAGGTGACGTAGATAGGATATGATTGTTTGTTATAACTTGTGTCGTCATCAAATACGTTAATTTTAATTTTGTAGATCACTGCTTGAGCAGCAGCAATCGTCTATTTCCTAGACGTTCGAATCATGTTCCCAACGGTCGGGAATGATTATAATTAAGGTATTCCTCACGACCAGAGCATGTTTCTCGTGCCTTTTTCTGTGTGATCCGTTTGCTCGAGTCAAATCACCAGATGCCACGTGCCAACTTATGTGACCAATGTTAGGATCCTGATTGAACACGGTTTACTCACGCAACAAACGTCCTTTTCCCTTAGAATTAGGTGAGGTGTGATGTGTCACGTGCTCTTCATTAGTTCATTGTCTTTTCTCGACTGACCTACACTCGTTAGTTTGATTTTATCTGATAATTGTCGTTAACATGCCGTGCACTTAACCCTTGATCGTATCAAAATTAATTTCCGAATAACTTTTCATGTCGAGAAATATCATTGTGAATGTTTGGTCTTTAGTGAAAACACATACACATGATCTAATATATATTTTATTGAAACTCTCCTCATATATTGTGATGTTTTTACGTTCATCAAAGCTTTCTTTGGGAATAGAACTTTCAGCACCACAAACATGTCTCGATAGATGGTCATTGAAAAACAAAATCAGTCAAAATAGTGAAATTTGGGTCAATGAAAGCTGAAATTCGAAAATGTCCTACCGGTAGGACATATTCAAAATTTTCATTGCATCAACATTTCTCCGGTTATACTGCTTCCAGTAACTTGATGGCGACTTGTGTCACTCTCACAGACCTTACAAATTAAATATTTGAAAGAATAAAAATGCCGATGTTGATGCTGTTTTAATTTCAAGTAAATTGGACTTATAATGAAACATTTTATCAACAAAAATTAAGACGGAAAAACGTGAACATCGATGTAATTGCCACATATGACATATATTGATTAAAATCAAAGTAAAACCAAATAAAATTCTGGTTACATTCTCATAATATTGATGCTCACTAAAAAAACCGCCCAACTCTTACAAAAACAATACGACTAAGTCCTATCAACTCTCGGTTAAAACAGATAAAAATTACTAACATTTTTTATTTTTGATGCTTCGTATTGTTCTATTAACGAGAAATTATTCATTCACATTTCGTTCTGCATACTTATAACTGACTGATCAGTTGATTAGCAAAGGGTCCACGATGTTTCGTTAGTAGGACTCCAATCGTGGATGACAGGTCCTTGTCTCAAAGTATATTTGTTGCTGCTATACGGTTCCTGAAATTTGATTTGTTAATAAAGGCCTAAATTTAAGTGTTTTCTTAAACTTAAAGTTAAACCAACACATCTTACTATATATAAAGCGAGACGATATATATATATTTATCCGTGCCATTTTACTGACACCACGGCATCAACTTTAACGCGAATTTCTGCAAAAACCGTCAAAGATATACAACTGAAACTTTTTTGACTGGGTCAAATGCTTTAATGGCCTTCAAATCAGCATGAAGAAATAAAAAATTGGCCAAGAAATAGGAGTTTTAGAGCCCAAAATTTGGTACCACAAGTGATGTCAAAAACGCGAATTAAATATGTAATAATTGTTTTATTAACTTTAAGGTTAGACGGGTTCCTGCTAGTTATTATAACTAGCAGGAGCCCGTATAATATAACCCTAAATGGTGTCAAGACTTAAAATACTAAAATAATTATTACCTATTTAATTGGCGTTTTTGACACCACTTGGGGGTACACATTTTCGGCTCTAAAATCATTATTCCTTGGCCAATTTTTTATTTTTTCATGCTGATTTGGAGGCCATTAAAGCATTTTACCCAGCCAAAAAAGTTTCAGTTGTATATCTTTTACGGTTTTTGCAGAAAGTCGCGTTAAAGTTGATGCCGTGGTGTCAGATATATATCGTCTCGCTTTATATATAGTAAGATAGAAGAAAGTCTCGCGCAATATAATACTATAATAGCGATACAGTTACTTTGAAATCAATAAACACAAACAAATGCAATATGTTTTGAATCATGTGAATGTCGAATCTAGGGTGGTAATTAATTAATTAATTACTCTGTTACTTGGGTCATAATTAATTAATCAATTGAATAATTAAGTAATTAATTAATTAATTAATTAGTTACTCTGTTACCTGGGTGATAATTAATTAATCAATTAAGTAATTGATTAATTAATTAATTAATTACTCTGTTACCTGGGTGATACCCTTGCAGGCGTCGTTTTCCACGCAAGCTTTTTGAGCATCCTCCAAGTTTACATATTTAGTTCGGGAAGCGTAAGAATAAAGGAAACTACCCAGGTGCATGCACCAAACATCTGGGAGAGTGACATAATTATATAGAATTTTAACAAACATCGTCATTTATATAATGAAATCAAAGATGGGACCACATACTACCATAATCATTATCAGCAATTAAAACTTCAGCACCAGGGTCAACATGGAAATGAAGGAAATAAAGCTGTCGATAAGAAGAATTAAAATAATTTGATAAACTAACCTACACGATCATGAAATTAATAAATAATAAGCAATCAACTAATTAACGCGCAATTAACCTCCACATTTGAGATTTCTGCTGTTAACTCCTGCCATAGCCTGAGGATCAGCACCGAACTCTTTGTTCTTCAGCCAGCACCGGGAGGTGGATGGTTGTTGGGTCACAGAAACACAGCCAGCCTGGTCAGCACACAATGCTGAACAGTCCTCTATGGACACTACGTTATCAACCTGAGATGTGGTTCAGGTCGAGAAGATGTTTAGACTTTTGGTTTTATTTTCGAAAATGTTGGCTTATTTTATCTTTACTCACACTGTAATATGCCTAAACGTAGAAGACTTCTCGCGAAATCAGTACCGCTCAGAAATTGTATTTTATTAAATATATCATACCCGTTTGATGTCAGCTCCACGGAAATCGTAGCTTTCTTTTACACATCCCTCTTCGACTATAAAGATTCCATAGTTATCATTAGAAGGACGATTGTCACAATGGGAGAAGATTTTTATTCCGGCTAGTAGCTTCAGATTGTTGATAGATGTTGTGCCTCAAAAAACAAATTCTTACAATCCTAATGTCCACTTACGATTTAACTTTAAGAGTCTTAGGCGATGCTATAGAGAAAGATCAAGTTTTTTAATTTTTGAGTTGTCACCATGAAGGCACTCAACCATGAAATATGAGCCTTGTCAAATGCTCCAAGATCTACATTATACTCTACTTTATACTCTACTTTATACTCTACTTTATACTCTACTTTATACTCTACTTTATACTCACCGCTGTTTACAAGGAAACAGCTCAAGTTGATACTGTTCACAGTATCTTGAGCTGATTTTCCGTTTTCACCATTAGGTTTGCTCTTCAACCAACAGTCCTGAGTCGATGGTCTGAATTAATAGAATTATTAGAATTAGAATTTAATTTACACAGCAATACAATAAGAATAAAAATAATTTAAAGAAGCTTCAAACCGCTGTGCAGGACATTCAAGTCAGTCAGAAACTGTTAGAAGAATACCCTTCAACAGTGGTGGTACTTTATTTCAGCCATTAAAAACATTGGTTGGGAGCAAAACTCAGAAAACTGAGACACTTAGCATTTCTACAAAAGATCTGCAGCCACGTAACCTGTGAGTAAGTGAAACACAACTGTCCTCTACGTAGCAGAGCGCTTCACACTCCTCGATAGTGTAGATGGGGTTAACGTTCTTAATATCAGCACCCCGGTAGTCAACTCCTTCATCAACACAGTCATTACCAGACGACACTTGAGCTGCTACTCCGTCTGAGGTAAAAATGAACGAGAATCTGAGTTTTACAGTGGATGATGTCGGTTGGGAGCTTTATTTTCAATTCAGTTAAAGTTTAGACTTTTAAAGAACATCACATATGCCCGAACACAATACAAGAATAGCTTAGTAAAGGTGCTGGGATACTCCAGAAAAATCTTGTTATGATACCCGTAAAATATTTATATGAAATATTGAAAGATCGTCAATATATAAACCTACAACACAACGCACGGCTCTAAAATATTCATCTCACACAGAGAAATAAATCCTTGGGTTAAAATACATACCGAGGCAAGATAAAGCAACACTATCGACTCGATCGTTATCTTCAGGTCTGGCTCCGTTCTCCGAATACTTGACCCAGCAGTCTCCATTGACCTTAACAAACGCCACAGACTTTGCATCTTGGGTTTTCCTGTGGGGTTTATATCTTTACCGTCAATGAAATATCAAATAAACATCACTTTTTGTGCAGTTAAGAATGGACGCTACGGGTGGACGTATGGGTCAGAGGAATTTCAGATTTATTCGCGTACGAAAAATAATGAATATAATACAAAATAATGACTTTTTCTCTTTCGTGTAACAATTATGGGACAATTGAAATTGTACAATGGCTGAAATACTGATAGAGATCTGACCTGGCTTCTTCAACACAATCCATGACAGACGAAACACCAGAGACCTTCTTAATGTCAGCTCCCCAGAAGTCGAAGTTAGTTTTTACGCAGTTGTTGTTCATCATTGCACCTGAAATTATCAGTTTATTTTAACTTCATTAAAAGATGTTGATTCTGGTGGGGAGGTGAGAGTGTGAAACATATTTTTGACAGTGAATTTACTCTAGTAGCAGAGAGGAGTTGAGTGTGCACTTCAATGTCCACAATTTTTGACCACACAGGGTCTTTCAATAGGTCATTCCAAACCAAAATCATCTAGGTAGCAATTTTGTATCGCTAGTCCCAGTCCTACAGGGCGAAATTTCTAAATTGCCCTCAGGCGCCAATTTGGGATTTTTGTATCTCGGCTTCTAAAAGACTTAGAGACTTGAATATTGGCTTAAAATAACGGCAATACCCTTATTTATATACAAGTTATGAAGCAATATAAGGTCTCAAGTGCCTAGTTTTAAAGATATTTACGAAAAACTGTTTTTTGGCTCATCGCAGCCGGAATTATCGGATTATTTTTATATCTCGAGCTAGAAAGGTCGTAGAAACTTCTCCGATATTGAAAAATATTCGCAATGAGCACATTTATATAAGACTTATGAATCATTGTATGCTCTAAAATGCTTATTTGTAGAGATATTAGCAAAAATCGGTAATTTTGGCTACACCAATACAAATTTGGTAATTCGTTTTGTCTTTTTTTTGCAAATTTTCACGTTGCAATTTTCAAGATGCGGTTTGTGGCTATCGATAGGGCTTTATATGCTATTGTATGGTTTTGATACAATCCTTCAGTACCTAGGACATAGGCAATAGGGGTCACAAACCCTGAAATGTCAGGAACTGGGCAGTGGCCGAGATAAATATTTGATAATTACTTGGACTCTTGACTCACATTCATCTTTTCAACGGTTAGTTAGACATCTTAAACCAGTATTGAACGTTGAGTAAAACTTCTAATCCATTTGTAGCTCAGGTCATGTGCCCCAGAAAAACACGCCTGAGTGACAGTGGGCCTTATCGATCATGAGCCGCAAATCACAAGGGCATTCGTACTCTTGGCTTAAATTGGCTCTTCGTTAGTATCATCAATTAGGTTTCTAACTTCTATATATCATCTGCCTGTCCAGTGTCCATCCGTCTCTTTGAGATTCATTATTAATTCAAGTTCAGTCATTTCGTTTCTGTTCAACTGTAGGCGTAATGAGGGACTTCAGTCCAGCAATAAAGTCAATATCTCTAGATTTAGCAATATTTGGTTTCGCTACTTTTAAGGTAATTGTGTTCAGCAAGCAAGGTTGTAAGTTTCCAGCCCTACGCCCCTACTGCCTCAAAATATTGCCCCCACCCCCGGGGCACTAGTTATACTGGAGCACTGGTAATGCACATGGTACAATGCTGATTTTTTGCTTAACATAGCTCATTTTAAAGTTCCTTTTTCAGCAGTGTACCATTTCATACTGGCATAAAAACAGATTCACCTCCTTTATCTCTAAATATAATCTTGAACCTGGGCTCTACAGAATTATAATTAGAATTAGAATCAAATTTACACAGCAATACAATAATAATAGTAAATAATTTAGCGATAGATACAGGTTATCTAATGTCCATCTCAGCATTTACAATTTACATTGAGTCATAAATTAGAATTATGTGGGGCACAAAGTCACTGAGGGACAGGTATCATTGGGCCCGAAGTTCTGGGACCCAAAGTTGCAGGTGCCAGAGGTCCTTAGGCTGACAATTGGGGCAAGAGGTTGGTGGATATTCGATAACCTGTAGAGCCCAGGTTCAATATTATATCTAGAGATAAAGGAGGTGAATCTGTTTTTATGCCAGTATGAATTATGATAGGGAAGACTGCTGAAAAAGGAACTTTAAAATGAGCTATGTTAAGCAAAAAATCAGCATTATACCATGTGCATTACCAGTGCTCCAGTATTACTAGTGCCCCGGGGGTGGGGGCAATATTTTCGGGCAGTAGGGGCGTAGGGCTGAAAACTTACAACCTTGCTTGCTGAACACAATTACCTTAAAAGTAGCGAAACCAAATATTGCTAAATCTAGAGATATTGACTTTATTGCTGGACTGAAGTCCCTCATTACGCCTACAGTTGAACAGAAACGAAATGACTGAACTTGAATTAATAATGAATCTCAAAGAGACGGATGGACACTGGACAGGCAGATGATATAGAAGTTAGAAACCTAATTGATGATACTAACGAAGAGCCAATTTAAGCCAAGAGTACGAATGCCCTTGTGATTTGCGGTTCATGATCGATAAGGCCCACTGTCACTCAGGCGTGTTTTTCTGGGGCACATGACCTGAGCTACAAATGGATTAGAAGTTTTACTCAACGTTCAATACTGGTTTAAGATGTCTAACTAACCGTTGAAAAGATGAATGTGAGTCAAGAGTCCAAGTAATTATCAAATATTTATCTCGGCCACTGCCCAGTTCCTGACATTTCAGGGTTTGTGACCCCTATTGCCTATGTCCTAGGTGCTGAAGGATTGTATCAAAACCATACAATAGCATATAAAGCCCTATCGATAGCCACAAACCGCATCTTGAAAATTGCAACGTGAAAATTTGCAAAAAAAAGACAAAACGAATTACCAAATTTGTATTGGTGTAGCCAAAATTACCGATTTTTGCTAATATCTCTACAAATAAGCATTTTAGAGCATACAATGATTCATAAGTCTTACATAAATGTGCTCATTGCGAATATTTTTCAATATCGGAGAAGTTTCTACGACATTTCTAGCTCGAGATATAAAAATAATCCGATAATTCCGGCTGCGATGAGCCAAAAAACAGTTTTTCGTAAATATCTTTAAAACTAGGCACTTGAGACCTTATATTGCTTCATAACTTGTATATAAATAAGGGTATTGCCGTTATTTTAAGCCAATATTCAAGTCTCTAAGTCTTTTAGAAGCCGAGATACAAAAATCCCAAATTGGCGCCTGAGGGCAATTTAGAAATTTCGCCCTGTAGGACTGGGACTAGCGATACAAAATTGCTACCTAGATGATTTTGGTTTGGAATGACCTAATGAAAGACCCTGTGTGGTCAAAAATTGTGGACATTGAAGTGCACACTCAACTCCTCTCTGCTACTAGAGTAATTTGGGATTTGATCGGGCAATAATCATTAATCAAAGCTGATTGGTTGGTTTTTCATTTTTGTCACGTGTCCAAAAATGTATTAGTCCTACCTTGACAGGCAAGGTTAGCGCTGACACATCCAACTTTTGGGGCGGGGTTCTGACCGTACATGAGGTTCTTCAACCAGCAGTCGGTGCCATAGTACGTCATCGACAGACATCCTGTTTGTTTTCCGCACTGAAAGTATGTGATTGTGTTTTTAAAGCCATAATTTTGAGAAAAAAAGTGAAAATAGTCAGGACAGATTATGGATGTTTTCTGTATAAGATTTTCAGATTTACTTTTAAAAATTAAAACTTATTTAAATTGAAAAAAGTTTAAAGATTGTACAAACCATAGCAAGACAGGATTCGGCAGAGTCGACGTTTGTTATTTTCTTGATATCAGCTCCTTGGTAGTCGAAATCCTGGACAAAACAGCTTCCTTGCGCTGTAAGAAAGAATTGAGAATTGATATTTTGCTCAAGTTTTAATTGGGCATATTTCTGAATAGATATACCGCAAGATCATTAAAAATGTTTTTGAATGCCATAGCAAGGGCTTATTACTATTAGACTTAATAACCAAATTTTTCGAAAATCATTTTTGTATAAGAACTCATATATTGTGTAAGGACTCATATATTGTATAACTATAACTGTAAGGACTCACATATGATAAGAACAAAAAACGAAGCTTGAAGCTTAAATTTTAACTTAACTTACCACTAGCGCAGAGCACGTAAATCAATCCCAGAAGGGTGATAGCAACGAGGCGTGTCATTTTGATAAAACCAACTCTAGCCTTTTAATACTATAACCGATACGCAAGTTAAAAATGAATGGTAAAATTAAAAATGAGCTCTGCTATTTATAGTTACTTCTCAAATCAATCATGTCCCCATCGAAAGGAGTCTACAGTAATATGAAACGAGAGAAACGCCTGCATCTTAGATTCAGAACACGATGAGAGTTATATAGAGTGTTGAAAGTTTAGTTTCTTAAATCCTGGAGTAGTCATTCGTGTCCCTGATATTTGGGTTAATTCTAACTCTCCTGTTATATAGACTATATCAATGCAGGTATAGTGCTTTATTTTTCGGCGACGGCTTATAGTTCTTGACCGAGGTCCTTTTTCTTAATACTTAGATTACTTAACTAAATATTCCACACGGTGTTCGTGCGATGGACGCCTTGAGCAAAGCACGTGTCACTCCGCTGCACATTGCAACAAAGTCTCGGGCGAAGAAAGTATGGTACACACTACCTTAACCGTCACTGGCCAAATAAATCCTCCAGCTTCCTGTTATTGGCTGGTTGCACTTGTGTAACATTGTTGCTCTTGGAATTCACCGAAGTAAAATAAGTGTCTTGATACAAAAGTCAAACTAGGCAAAATCGCGGTGACTTTGCGGCGAAAGATTTAATGTATTTGCAGAGCTAAGTTAGATGTCATAAATTCGTTAACTAGCTTGTTAGTATAGATAGATTAGGGAGCGACAGGCTCGTCAGGCAAAACAATAGCATATATATTAATAATCTTGAGTGTTAATAAGATCTAAACAGACTCTTCTTCATGATGTTGTTACACGAATTATGAATTAGGGATGCACTGGTTCGTAGGATTAGGGTTATGAAAATTACTAGTTGGTTTGTGTGTAGATAGTAAGTCTGTGCGGCTTCTATTGATAATAGAAAATTATTATAATTATTACGTAAGAATTATTATAAAAGTTATGTTTATATAAAAAAAAAGGAGAGTAACTTATATATTGAGGCACTTTCCTTGAACCTATCGAGAATGACTCGGACCGAAAATTTTCTAAATCGAAATTATTTTCAAAGTTTTTCTGGAAACTACTTTTGTTTATGTTTCATGCTACCATGAGCATTATGAGCCGAAAATATTTTTGTCGGACCGTACCTACATTCGGAAGGCTGTGGATGTAATTAGTTCCATATAATTATAAAGAACGTGATATTTAGCCCTCGGATTTAAAGGAGAATGTGCAAGTTTGATCCTCAGACTAAGAGAACTGGAATAATTTGGAATAATAATGGCAAACGTCAAAAATCTGAGCCTTGCTGACTTCAGCAGCAAGAGAGAAATTATTCCACTGCAAACTCATGTTTAGGATATGACAACTTTTTAATTTCAGTCAACTATAATTTCTATCATCGGATTCGGACTAAACTATATCATTGGATCAATGAAAAACGAGATATTATACAATTTTTAAATATTCTAAGTATCAAATTATGGCATGATCACTTTCTTGATCTTCGGCTCCCTCGTTCACTTCTTCGGAGTTATTATTTACCTCCACACACTGCAAAAATTTACACAAATGCAGGAGGTCAAATAAAAATTTTTTTTTCAAAAAGCAGGTATTACAATTATTTCTGATATGATGCTTCACGCATGGAATATTTAATGCACGATAACCTCATAACCTATTTGAGGAAGATGACCTGTGATATGATCATAAAATCTGGTCATATTTCGTATTTGTTGTTTTGACAAAACTTTCATAATCATAGACACTTTTGGCATTTTTTACTGCTTAACGACTGCCTTTCTTGCTCATTGTAATTGTATGAAAAATAAATTTACAAATTATCTGCTAAAATTTTTGAAACACAAAAAAAAAGATGAAAAAATTTGGATTTTTCATGGTTTTGAATGCCTTCGAGCGTTCATTTTAATGTCCCTTCATAATTATGTCCCTTCATAGTTATGTCCGTTCATTTAATGTCCGTTCAAATAAGGTCCGATAAGGTATATCACATAACCAGCGAGTCCACCCTGCATTATAAGGAGTAAGAAATGTTAACTTTCAGAGATAACCTTAGAACGTTGCAACGGCTATCTTGAATAGTCTACACTCTACATGGGCATATGTTTATTGGTCAGAGGCGGCTATTTAGGGCGTCCAGGCGTCCGTGGACGCCTTTAAATTATTATCTGGTGGCTGGTGCTTAAAATAGAAATAGTAATTAGTAATAGTGTTAGGAAATAACAAATCGCAATATAAAGGTCTTCGTTTACTATCATACGTTTTAATGTAAGCGCACGCATGATCTTCGTGAAATTTTGTGTTGTAGGGAGTCCAACCCTACCTCTGGACTACTCAGCTGCGCAGTTTTAACACATAGTTAATTGTAAACGTTACAAAGCACATCGTGCGCATCCCACTACAGGTAATCTATTATGATTTGCCTCGATTTGGGGGTCCAGGACCCTTTGAACTATTGACTGTTGTGATACTGCGCGGCTGAGATCGTACACGTGTGGTGTCCTGTTTCGCCCATGTTATAAGTTTTTGTTTTTGTTTGCTGTCGCCTGTAAAGTGTTACACATTACATTTACAAGGCCCTGTGTGTAATGTAATCGGTAGTTTGGAGGGATCAGCTTGAGCCGGCTCCCAAGCCCCCCTCCCCCCCAGTCCATCGATTGGACCCCCAACAAAACTGCCAGCCAGCTCCCACGAGCCGCCTCTGTTATTGGTGTAATAAAACAAGGTACGATGAATGTTTCTTTGTTTAAAGTGGGCAATAGAGACGAGTTGTCTCCTTATAATCACCATTGGATAACGGTTATATGTTTTTTATACATCTCTCGGCTTGCAATAGCCTCGTGATGCTAAGGAGAATATTTCAACTAATGTTAAGGTTCGCTGAGACCTATTGACGGGACATGTTTTACATTTTCTTATTGTCCTGCTGGTTTGTTTACCAGCCTCATGGAGCTAGCTCTGTGAGGCTGACCACCATACCAGCAATTTATCGCATATTTTCACGTTAACCTAACCAGCTGATGGTCATATTGATTATCGTGACATAAATGTTATTTATAATGAATCTGGTTAATACATTAAAATCCCAATTTAACGTGGAATTTGGACGTGTCACAGTTCAAATTTGAGTGAGCCGCCCTGTCAGGCTGTCAATAGCTGTCTAGGAGCTAGTCGGCTCTTAAATGTAAAAACCGCCGGATATGACCGGTGCCGGGGTTTTTCATAATGATCATAGTTCCATACCTCTGTAGCTATTCCCACGATAGAAATCCTATTTTGATTCACGGCCGTAATGAATGGATTTCCAGTAGATTTCATTCGAAGTCGAATCGCTTCGGGCTTATCTTAATAGCTTTGAGCTATTGTATTTGTAAACCAATTACTCCTCATCTCACTGACTATCGGACGATTTACGTACTAAAGTTCGATAACGAAAGTTCGTGGTTTTCGAATGTCACTATACTACTATACTAATGAACGTTATAAATTCGAGATCCTGGTGGAACCTACAGGTGGACATGACAAGAATTAAGTTCCCCTAGCTAACTGTGAATAAACTTAATAATCACTTCTGCTTGAGCTAGCATGCTGTCTCTTTTACACAAAAAACTCAGTTACAGTCTTTAACGGTGCGAGAGTCTTTGTAATGTCTTTAGCTAAGTCAGTCTCTCGTGCTCCAGTTTTAGATTGCCTAGCTCCAAGTCATCTAAAATTCCGTGCACTGCATCAGTTATCCGGTCATAGCTCTCCTGCACAGCGAGCTCCAACGGGTTTTGTAGTCTCGTTGCAGTCTGAGTTCCTTTCCGTGCTTCAACAAACAACACTAACTACGTCTGACCATACAACCTCCAAGTTACCTACTAGATACAATAATGCAACATTTCAATTTTCACTGCCACAAATTCATACACACATACCATCACACTAAAAATTATGCTAGCATTAGCACTGGGTTTTAACTTTACAAACTGAGAAATAGATTCGAAAAATATGTTAAATGTTGGCCATTTTACCATAATAAAATTTGTTGATTATCGCGATAATTCTCGAAATTTTCGCGATAATCGATAATGATTTTTGGGAAATTTTTGCCGATAATATCGGTTGGCAACCCTAATCTTGATAGCTTTGAGCAACTAAAGTTCGTGGCTTTCAAGTGTCACCATACTATAACTACACTAGTGAATTTTATAAATTCATAAGGTAAAACCTACAGGAGGACTGAGGACATGACAATTAGGGTTAAGTTTGACCCAACTTCCCGAGCTTACCGGGTTTTACCATGTGCCAGGAGCCGTTGGGACGATTATGATGTAAATAGTCCATCCCGGGTTTGACCAGGTGACATTTGAATCCACCGCTGTAGTATCGGTTGTTATCTATCATACGTTCAATAATCACTGTTCTAACAGTGGCCTGTTACTCTGGTCGGCACCTAGCTGCTGCATCTGCACGAGATCAAATGAGAAACTGAGAGGGTGCACGTGAACGCTAACAGGGTGCATGTCAGCACATGACCCATGAAGCAAATTCTTAGTTGCCTGTTTAAATTCCTTCTTCATTTATCGTGTTAGTTGACAATTCCATTTTTAATCAATCTTTAGTCAGAACTTTAAACCAGGGGCACGATGGGACCACTGGAAGCGCATTGCACTAGAGATTTTTCGCGCGCTGAGTGTTGCCAGGCAAATATTTCATCATGATTCCCATTGGCTTCCAGCTCTATCTTTACTTGGCATATCATTAGTTCATGTTTCAGTTTTAAAGAGAATCCTTTGTTCTGCATCCCAGTATAAATTTGATCAGTTAACTTTTTGATGAAGTTGACTATCAAATGTGCGTAAAGTAATCAGTTTTCGACAGACCACTGCAAGAGAACTTCATTTTTATCCTACCCAGAAAACTGAGAATATATTGGAAATCATCTCAACTTTATGTGTGCAAATTTTCAGAATGGCTCGACAAGATGGTTTCGAGATAGAGATGATCAAACACGATGTTTCTGTGTTATTTTAATACATTCGCGTGCAATTTTTAACGCCAATTGTAA